CAAGCTGCTTTTATTTGCAAGGAGATTCAACAAATTTGGTTTTTGGCCATGCAGCTTTGCAGAATTCTCCATGATACACACAGTGTATCGTATCTGTGGCAGCGTTTCCGGTACCAGTCATTGGTAGGATGCATAACTCCCAAAGACCGATAACGGTCTTTGAGAGTATGTGTTCTTCAGCAAAGGGTACCGTTAAAGAGAGTGCACATTCTCCAGCAAACTGCCTGGTCTTTGAGAGTGGGTCTTCTCCAGCAACCGGTACTAGTGTTTGAGAGTGTACACTCTCTGGTGACTGGTACCGATGTTTGAGAGTGTACACTCTCTGGTGACCCGTACCAATGTTTGAGAGTGTACACTCTCTGTTGACCGGTACCGGTGTTTTGAGAGTGTACACTCTCCAAGACCAGAACCGGTCTTTGAGGGTGCAGAGTCTGGTGAGTGGGTGTGAGGAGACATGTGGACAGGGAAGAGAGAGAATCACAGATGATATCTGTGATAATTGCAATGGTGGGTTGCTATCCAGTCACTATGTTTGGCAGCGTGATAGCTCCTGGAGGCCGAGTTGCTATTCTTTTTGAGCGTTTAGCACCCGTGGTGATGTTGCTAAATCGGGCTTGGGTTGCTATAATTGGTTTAGCAACCCGCGGTGGAGATGCTCTAAGTTTCAACAAAATTAACAGTTGAAAGTTTTGCTTTTGCTAGTCTATATCCTCTTCCCACTCAAAACATCATGGATAACCTTGCCAAAACCACCTCTCACACCGCTCATTTTCTCCTGACCAACTCCAACGATGTCATCTGTAAAATTGACATCAAAGCCAAGCTCTTTGATCTTGGAGCAAGAGAATATGTTGCTGGAATCACCAAAGTCAATGAAAAAACATCTGGCAATGAAGTCTCCAGGCTCAGCAACTCAACACAAAGGCCTATTCATTGATCATTCAAAACCTAGCGCCAAAAACCTTGCCCTTGTCAGCACCACCTTGCCAATGATATAACTGATGCAATGCATAGTATTGGGCCTGTATTGCATCACATTGAGAGAGCAATGTGGGGGCCCCGCATTGCATTGCTTGCATCAGATTCTTCAATACAGTGCATCAAATCTCACTGCTTGATCCGCAGCTCTTGACATCTTCTTGGATCTTGAGTTTAAAGATGTTTCCTCTTTTGTCACCGCTATCTGACTCGCTAATCAAAAAATGGTTCTCACCGGAATCGTGCTTGACAATCAATTCAAGATGATGATAATGCTACAAAAACTTCCTTGTCAAGAATTCCGATTGTTCCCGGACATTGCTGCCTTGGGTTTCTCTAGAAAATTGTTTGAAGCCATTGTCAAAAGACTAGAAGCATATGCTGTCAAAAACAACAAAAGACTCATCTGACAAGTCTCAAGTATCTCCTCAAGTTTCTCTTCACACACTGTTGAACAAATCCAACTCCAGATTGAGTCCAGTCTGTCTTCATTGCAAGAAGGTTGGCCATTGACCTAACAACTGCTGGCTCAATTTTCCAGAGAAAGCACCAAAAACTGAATGATGCTCCTCAGTCCTCTGATCCAACCAACTTCACCTGGCTCCACACCTTCAACGGAGCTTGTCGTAATGTTGAAAAAATTAAATTCAAAAACGTCAAATTCTTCTGATCTGTCCGTTCAACTGGCTAATACTCTGTCTCTAGTAGCTACATTACCACATTGATTCCGATCTTGTTGTAGATCCAAGCTTGCCTCAACACAACCCTGCTAGCAATCTTGCTATCAATCTCAAATCTTCTCTTGACCTGAAACCACCTCATTGATATCAATAACCAACCATGCTCACTGACATTGATCTCATATTCTTTCTGCATAAGTAACGGGGGTTTTGTAATTTTGTCCTTATCCATTTCCTCTCTTCTTAAATTTCTTACTTCTGCCTCTTGTCTTGAATGATCAATAGAATCTGTCTTGAATGATCATTAGGATCTACTCCATAACCACTATGATAACTCCTCCTGTTTAGTCTGACTTATCACCTTGTTATGAATTCAAGCCCCCTAGCTTGTAGTCTTGGAACCCTGGATAAGGAGGGCCTAATTTCTCTCATTTGTTTCTGCTTACTAGTTTGTAGATGCTTCATTTCTGGTGTTGGTTGTTTTACCCTCTTCTTTATTCTGGATTATTCCATTTGTTTCTATTCATTTTCTTCTTATTCATTTTTCTTCACAACCACAGCTCAAACTCCTTTATCTAGTCTATTTAACCTAGCCTAGTACAACAAATTAAAAATCATTGGTTCTCCTCTTAAAAAAACTGGGTTTGGCCACTTTTTGCCCCTCAAAAAGGTGACACTAGAGTCTGTTCAAAATCCTTTCCTCTTCTTCAAAGTCTAAGCTTCAACAATAGGCTTTCATAAATGTTTATCAGTATCTGCCTGATGTGGACTTTTCTCAAACAAGGATGTATCACTACCATCCAGGATTATTATATAATTGTTGGCAGATGGTGTAAGTGTGTAACGTGGTATTGTCAACATGTTTACAGTGGCTGAGCATCTATATTCAGTTGGTTCATTTGGGGTTATACGCTACAGTGAAACTGTTGGAGTGATTGTTTGTGGCACAGACACATGCTCAGCTGATGCCTAAAATGTCTGGGTGGGTGTAAGGCGGGACAAGGTCTGGCTACCCACCTGTTTTCTACACCCCAAATGTTGACAACCAGTGCACCCATGCAGCTGTTTCCAGGTAACTAATTTGGAAGACATTTTTTCCCACTATTCATGTGTTTGTCCTATTGATGTATTCTAAGCTAATACATCCTTTCACAGCCATCACATCCCAGGGCTCATCATTTCATCATGGCATCCATGATGAATAAAGATGTGTTGGCGGTCATTTCATTGTTGGGGTGATTGGAGTAGCAGAGGTTTGAGGTTTGGATTCTACCATAAAAACACAAAGAAGTTTGAAAGATGGACCAAATGAAAACCCAATTATGAACAATAGATGTGCCTTGAAGAATGTACAATATTTATGTGTCTTGTCCATTGTCGAAGAGGATAGGAAGAGTGTCTGGGTTGGTGGGATTGCAACTTTTACCTAGAGTGATGAAAATGAAGGGCGGAAAAAAAGTCAGCATCAAGATGGAGGTGTAGTACTACAGGATGAAATTGAATGTGTTGAAGAGCACTACGTACCGAGTCATCCTGTTTTGAATGTCGCCTACGATGCCAACGTGTTCCTTAGATGCCGACGCCGACACCTACCCCAAGGCCGAACTGAAGGAATCAAAGTGCCATTCAGGAATGAGCATCCACTACAAAATCAATGGAGGATCAATAGCTCAAGTAACTTACCCCTAAGCCTAGTCCACCCCCTCCGCCGTAGCCTCCACCATATCCTCCCCCGTAGCCTCCACCATAGCCTCCACCATAGCCTCCACCATAGCCTCCACCATAGCCTCCACCATAGCCCCCTCCATAGCCTCCACCGTACCCTCTGCCATAACCGCCATATGGTCCTCCGTAACCAGCACCGTATGCTCCCCCGTATCCCCCGCCATAGCCTCCATAGCCACCGAGATACTGTTGAAAAGAAGTTGGTTTGAGATTAGATCTTGTTAAAGAGCCACAACAACAAATAAACCACAGCCAAATCAGGTGCTTTCCCACTTACACCTCTATGAAGCCCATGAGTAGGAACGGCTGTAACCGTCTCAGTGCTGAGGATGGTTGCCACAACTGAGAGTAATCCAAATGTGAATTTCATATTTGCTGTCTTTGAGGGATTAAAATAAATATCTGCAGGCGATGTTCGGAAAGGATGGGATTGAAGGGGTTTGATCTGTTAATGGAGGCGAGCTGAAAGACTGAAGTGCTGGTTAAGGATAGAGGTGTTGGTGAATCTGAAGAGATCGTGTAGTTAGGAGGCAGGCAGTAGGAAGTGAAGGATGGGGAAAATGATTAGGTTGTTCCAGGAAGCGTCTTTTATATTGTGCACCCGGATGCTGAATCACTAGAAGAGCATGGGTAGATTGAGGAGGAGAGAGAGAGTATCGGACACCGAAAAGATTGGTTGGTCAAGAACTAGCCAGGACTTGGACCAACCAAGAACACTTTTAACCAGGTAGTCAGGTAGCTACATCGCTTGAAGGATATTATCCCGATCCCCGATTTGGATCTCCCCAATATATAACCAATCCGGTTCAGACTGAGGCTGGTCTGGCGGACTGTCATAAAGCCAAATGATTTATTAATAGACAAAATTGATGTCGGGCTGGAGTGGGCCGCCGACAAGGGGACACTGATATGGGCCATTTTAACTGGAGCCGGACGAGGAGATCGTCTTGGAAGCGCACCGAAGCCGAGAGGTTAGAGAGATTGCTGGCCCAAAGCTTGATCATGATCGCGGTCCTTGCTGATAGATTGAGCAAAGTGGAAGACCGTCAGATTTTCAACCATTGTAAGGGGTTGGTTGAGCTAGCTGCAATGACGAGGAAAAAATACATTAGAAATGATGATCAGCTCGCAGTCATCGGGAAAGTGTGAAGAAGATAGGAATGTTGCCGGAACATCACTGAGCCGTTTGGCGGTGATTTGGAGGGAGGGCGCGAAGCAGGCTGGCCGTCACCACCAGATCATATTCCAGAATAATTATTGGGACCTTTGAAGACGGGTAGAATCGGTTGAGGCGGTGAAAATGCTGGGACATCCTTCTCCGGACTCCCAAGGTGAGTCGAATACATATCTTGAGGCGCGACAAAGAGGCCTTCTGGAAGTAATAATGAGACTTTCATGACAAGCCTTTGCAAAGTTCAATCTCAACATCACTCCAGGCGGTTTTAATCGCACTGGACGAAGGTCGAAATCCTTTTTCCTGCCTCGGTATTCTCATTTGCCTCTTTGCATTCTCGTCTGGCTGCACATAACTCAATTATCATGGTATGGTTGGCCTGATGCATATTTTCCCTTCCCTAATTTCGCCATAAAAAAGGTAAAGAAAAATATAATCAAGGTACTCAAGCTCATGATTGCCACAAAATATATTTCTATCGGCTTGCTAACCTCTCAAGATACCCGAATCAGGTTACTAAAAAGGATTTGAATCTGGCACTACCTTATCATCTCATAAATTTCAAGAAAGAGAACTTATGATGAGCTCACTAACAGTAAATCCGCTGCATTGTTTTAACATATTTAAAATTCCTTCATTTGATGTAGTAGTGTACACATTTACAAACAAAATAGACCGCAGAACCAAACTCTTCCCTGATCTAATTTCTTTCCTTCTCTTTCTTCACATCTTTTCCATTTTCAAATCATGAAAAAAGGTTTATCAAGGGACAAGTAACATTCAATTGACCAGCTGACTTACCAGCTCCCCTTCTGGGGGTGATAGTTGACTTGTTTTTGGAAGGGCATAAGGGATGAGATGGTTTAGAGCTAATCCGTTTACAGACAAGACATTGTTGGGCATGCTGGAAGAGGAGTATGTGTAAGGGATACTTGAGGTGATCAGGGACAGCCTGGTTGAGATGTTTGAAGGCGCTCTCCCTGGTTGCGGTGGGTCCGGGAGGCAGCCAGCCCAGGGCTTTGGTGATCCTAAAGACATGTCTGGATGTTTACATCACATGGTGAGTCCGACATATTTAAACACGTTTTGGGAACACAGTTCGAACATTTCAGCGGGCTTTTTCATCTCATGTTGAATAGTGGAAATCACAAACGTGTCGACCGGGAAAAAGTTCCTACCGAGACAGAACAGCAGGACGCAACTTGCAGTCTTAGCCCCGACGCCTTTGAAAGAAGCTAGCAAAAGAGAGATCGATAAGAGAGAGTGATTAGCAAGCCTACTCGATGTTATATATCTGGAGATCGCAAAAATCTACATATCTACGCAACTCAAAGTTTCCATGGCCTCAGAATCAGGGAGGTAGCGAAGAAACTCGAGGCTCAAGTCGGGATTAAGGTTAAGATGTATATGATTAAGGAGGGCATGAATGGTCGTGGATTTTCGAGCGGCGAGACCGACGCGAGCGTCTTGAAGGACAGCAGTGATAGAGGAGACAGAAGCTCGCCGGATGGCGTGATAATTGCCCGTCCCGAAGTGTTGGTCGAGGGCTTGTTTGGCGCGGCTCGAGTTCGCCCTTGAGGTGTGTTGGCTCAGGATCGTCCGGACCAAGCCATCGAGCACCTCGCCTACCTCCCCACACTCCGTCGCAATCGTCCTTGAAGCGAGATCCTCAACTCCCTCGGCTTCCTCCGTCGCCCCCGCCAATCGCGCCGGCCGGACCGGCATTCCTCCGTGCACTTCTGCCAACAACGAACAGACCTGCTGACAATCGGAAATCGTCGGCTTAGCCGTAAACTCGTGTTGCCCGCTCGAACGCCCGACGGCCGGGTGCACACTCGTCTCGCTGCTAGCTGACCCACTCGCGTCGTGTTGCAGTGTCGCCGGATGCGCTCCATCGGAGTCGTAATCTTTTGACGCCATTGTTGGAGTGAAATCAAAACGACGGGATTGATCAGACGGAGATATGGTTCCTTCTAATCCTGTCCGGCTGGAGTGAAAACCAACTTGTCAGTTTATAGCCATTGAAACGTATCCGTTTATACGTGCATAGAAAGGACAATCTCTTTCTGGTATCCGTTCTTGCGCTTTGGTACAAAGCTTACCTGAACTGCAATCCGAGCGGAATCAGATCATTAAGTCTATTTTGAACGGATCTTCGACCTTCTGTTTTGGATTCTTTCAATTTTTTATTTCCGTTTATGTGACCTGGATGTTAATGACAATCGACGTTGCGAGGATCAAATTTCAAAATGATGTAGACTCTTGACCTTCATCCTGTCGACTGCAATTACCTGATCATCAACATTGGTTCTCTCTCAAATGTGTTTTTTTGGTCACAGCAGTGAGTAGCACTAGCAGCGTGTTGCTAGGATGAGATGGTCTGCTTTCATCAAGAAAGAAACTTGATTAGACACCTGGCATTTCAATTTTTGACCCCAAACAAGCATGCAAGCTAAATTGTTGCACGCATATATTAAGCTTCTATACTTTCATTTGAACAACGACCAACAGTGAGGATAAGTCTCTTTTGTCTTCCCATTCCAATTTTTCCTACGGTAAAAAAATGTGTTTTGTACTTAAAAGCAAGAAAATATTACTTTTCGAAAAACAACTCATGCCTCATGCAGAATTCTACCAGATCATGGTCCAGGGAAAACTCAAGAAATTCAGCTCTTTGAACTAATGTGTTGGCATCACACACCACACTGTCCAAAGAGTGTCCATGTTGGAGTCTTCTATAAGGCGCTGATTGAAGGTTTAGTCGAGAATTGAGTGAAACTTGTTCGTCTTACAGCGAGAGGTGAGAAGCGAACTCGATATAGAATCCAGTGGACAGAACAAGGGCTAGAAGGTGTTGGGGATTGGAATATTCATATACAAACCTGAGTAGATGACATCATGGATGCAAATGGTGACTTTTTGGCGCTTGGTTTTCCGACCCTTGAACACATCATAAAGGCTTATTTTAGGGCATTTTCCAATTGCTCGACCTGCTTGGGTCAGTGTGCCATCGTCCAAAGCCCACACTGTATAACCTTTCTGTGTTTTTTTGGGACTGCTCATTCTTCATAGCCACCCCATCGGGGGTGGATGAGGTCGAGCTTAAGCCCAGAGATCCCGGACGTGAATGTCATCTGCAAGGTTTGATCCCGTTTTTATACCTTTGAGATCAGTAGGTGTGGCTGATCCAATGGTAACACCATCTTCAGAGAGCTGGTTGGCTAATCCACCGCGGGTGCAGTCGGGCAGCCCTGGGACACCCCTCGGACAACCCCAACACAATCAGGAGGGGCGCCCCACAGTCGTTCCGGCACATGCCAAAAAAGAAAGCCGGCCCCATGGGGCCGTTCGGCCCGGCCGTCCCGCTTCCATCCAAGACATGTGCCCAATGCCCATCCTAACCACACCCCTGCTAGGATGTCCACCCCCAACATCAGATAACACGGCGTCCCAGCCCGACGTCCAACGGGCACACCGTCCCTGCAGCGAGGCTTAACCTCTCCGAGGCGACCGACCTAGACCCGGCGGAGGAACGCCCCGGTCCCACCCGCCCCCGCTGTGGTAAACCACCTAAGTCTTCGTGTGTTCCATGGACGCTGGCTCTGGGGTGCACAGGGATTGTATCATTAACACCGGAACTTATGCCATGTGCGCCTGTGGCGGAGTACTAAGGAAGGAGACCACCCGGTTTGGGTGCGCTGACATGTATTTAACTGTAAGATGAAAGAGTGAGGATCAGAAGAAATGAAAATGGACAAAGTGAGCAGGCAAAGTGAGCGGAAAGAAAAGAAAAATACGATTTGAAGGAGTGTCTGTTTGAATCATTTTGGGATCCGCTTGATTCCGATCCCCCCCGTCTTAAGCATATACGTAGCCCACTGAGATGGGGCTTGCAAGTATGCTTGTGGCGGGGGTGGGCTCGATCGAAGAGGAAGAAGTTTCCAGGTTTTTTTTTTTTGCTGGTCAGCCAACACACCAACCAAAGCAAAGGAGGAACCAACTGGAACCTATAAACTCAGACAACCGACCGAAGGGACCACAAAAACAAGGCAGAGAGATCGAGATATACCGAACCGAACGAGATGTCTTCAATCTGTCGAAACACGATACTCAAGGGGATTGCCATCAAGCCCGCCAGCAGGACATCCAGTCTACTTTCAGGCTCCCTCTCCTCTCGACTCGGTCGTAAGAACTCATTCTTGTCCTACTGAAAGACAACAAGCAACACCATCCCACTAATCACCATGATTTTTTTTTTGTCTGATTCAAGTTCAATGTCGGGCCGTCTCCTCTTCTACCAGCTCCGGTCTATCGTGTATCCAGTCAAGGTCTCGTTCGTCGAGAAACCCTAGATCGCTTCTCCCTATTCATTCCATTGGTAGGTTCTCAAAGGGAAAAAAAAATCATTCTCAAATTTGTGATAAGTTTGGTAGATTTTTGTCGGGGTGTTCATCTTTTGTCTTTCAACCACCACAGCCAGTCGGTCATATGCGGCAGAAGCCTCGAAAAAATTCACGAGAAACAAGCCACACATGAACATGTAAGTCATTCATTTATCCCAATTTTTGATGTTAGTTAAGTACAACAGTTGGCGAGAGGGGGAGATCACTAATCATCAGATGACTTGTCCAAAAAAAAAAAAACCAAAAAGCGGGACGATCGGACATGTCGATCACGGAAAAACTACATTGACCGCCGCAATCACGAAATCTCTGGCAGCCCTCAACTCAAACAACAAGTTCCTCGATTATTCGCAAATCGACAAGGCGCCCGAAGAAAAAGCTAGAGGAATCACTATCTCTACTGCCCATGTTGAATACGAGACCGAGTATGTCACTTCTTCTGCTCAAAAACTATGGGTCTGGATATCAAGTTTCACAGAGTTTAAGTTTTGAATCGTATGATCGTCTGATGTTCCATTTCTTTGCATCAATTTAATCGATCTCAGAAACCGACATTACGCCCACGTTGATTGTCCAGGTCACGCGGATTACATCAAGAACATGATCACCGGTGCGGCTCAGATGGACGGAGCAATTCTATTAGTCTCGGCGACCGATGGCCAGATGCCACAAACGCGAGAACATCTCCTGTTAGCGCGCCAGATGGGGATCCAGAAGCTGGTGGTATATGTGAACAAGGTTGACCAAATCGATGATCCGGAGATGTTAGAGCTTGTGGAGATGGAGATGCGGGATCTCTTGACGAGTTACGGGTTCGATGGCGAGCAGACGCCGATCGTCAAGGGCTCGGCGCTCTGTGCACTCGAAGGGAAAAGCCCGGAGATCGGGGTGGAAAGCATCAAGCAATTGATGAAGGCCACCGATGAATGGCTAGACCAGCCTGTGCGAGACTTGGACAAGCCCTTCCTGATGCCGGTCGAGGACGTGTTTTCGATCCCCGGACGAGGGACCGTTGTGACTGGTCGAGTGGAACGAGGAACAGTGACCAAGGGAACCGAATTAGAATTGATCGGCCTCGGGATGAACCAGAAGGTAGCCTTGACCGGAATCGAGATGTTCAAGAAAGAGCTCGAGAGAGGCGAGGCGGGCGATAACATGGGCGCGCTATTACGAGGTCTCAAGCGAGAACAGATCAAGCGAGGGATGGTGCTTGCAGCGCCAGGATCGATGAAAGCGGTGACCAAGTTCCTAGCGAGTATCTATGTCTTGACGAAGGATGAGGGAGGTCGTTACACACCCTTCATGAACAACTATCGTCCGCAATTGTTCCTCCGAACCAGTGATGTGACCGTCAGCTTGACCTTCCCCGAAGAGGTCAAAGACCGGGCCGAAAAGCAAGTCTTCCCAGGCGATAACGTCGAAATGATCTGCGAATTAGTCCATCAAGTCGCCATCGAACCCGGATCTCGGTTCACTATCAGAGAGGGCGGGAAAACTGTGGGCACTGGCTTGGTCTCTCGAATCTTCTAACCCATTCTCACTTCTCTTCTTTTGCTCGTATAATCAAAAGATTTTATTCACATATATATATATATCCCTTATACTTGCAATTTGTATGGCCTGGATATCAAGAAAAATCAACACATTACATGCTTTCTTTCTTTCTTTCTTTTTTCTTTTGCGATATCCATAAATAAAAATATTTGAAATAACTGAAACACCCATCACATCTGAAGAAACTGTTTTTGTTTTTTTTGTGGCTCATCATAATAAAAATTAGTACACTTGAGATCTTTGTTTCTGAGTCTTATCAATGTAGTTCTACGTGACATGCATTGTGATGAACAAAGCAGTGTCACATGTAAGCCTTTTTGTCATGTCTCAGAAGAACTGCGCCACTGCTGCACAATATAAAATATGCAACACTCTTCTTGAGCACAGAAGGATTTCAGCACCCCCCCCCCCAATGGAAACGTTCTGCGCTCTCAAACTGCCTCAGCCTCATCCAGTCATCCACCCGACAAATATACACCCACCCGCCAAGTCATCCATCTGACAACCAACCGACCGATGTTAGCTACCTACAGCCATCTACTCCAGGAGACCTAGCTACCCTTTGATTAGTCGCTCAATCAAGTGATCAATTGATCGTTGTAAACGGCCCGCCACTCTCTACTCCAGCAGACTTAGCTATCCTTTGATTTCTCATTCGATCAACACTGTAACAGATACAATACACTGTGTGTATCATGGAGAATTCTGCAAAGCTGCATGGCCAAAAACCAAATTTGTTGAATCTCCTTGCAAATAAAAGCAGATTGGTCAGATAGTTTTTTTTTATTGGGGCTCAGATACATAGTGATACATGGCAGATACATGGCAGATACCGTATCTGTTTCAGTGTTGATTCAATCAACCAATCAATCAATCATGTAAGTCTCGCTCATCCATTTTTTACCTGTCTTTTGTTCAAACTCTTTGCTGGGGAAAGCCCTCCTCCTTGTAATCCCTGATCAAAAGATGGCCTTGCCAAGGCAATGCGTAGTAAATGCAAGCAACGATGAAACCGATCCGATCCGATACGGTATCGGCCAATTTATTGGATCGGATT